CAACATGTCTAAACGTAAATTTACGTCACGTTTTAATAGCTTGAAGCAGTGGCGAAGTGAATCCGCCAACAGTTCGTGTTAATCGGTCTTAACTTAATTTAGTTTTTTTTGTGTTTTTTTTTTTTTGCAATACTCTTTGGAAGTTAATAGTTACATGGCTGTCCTAGCTAGAATTTTATTTGTTGTTTTGTGATGGTGTCTTATTGTTTTCCTTCTAAACATACATTGTTGTTGTCGTTTTTTGTGTAAGAAATAAATTACAACAATTTGGGAGGGGTCTTTGATAAGTACTTGTCAATGTGATATCGTTTGGCCAGGAAATGTATTTAACTATTGCCGATGATGATTATTGTGTTGTTGTTGTCAATGGCGATGATGGATGGATGGGTGGATAAATGTATAAAATATCAATGTATACATTCAGTGGGTCATTTCTATGTCTTCTTCTATGGACATTTTTCATTATAAATGTATTTTTAAACTCCATTAGTCAATACAATTTTGTTATTTTTAGGAAATAATAAAGTGAACAAATAGCGTAATTTACAATAATAATACTACGAAAGTAGAATTTTGACATTTTGGGAGAACGTTTTCCAAACCATAAAATTACAACAAAACTTCGAATAAAACAATAATACATTTGTGCCTTATAATTATCACAGCTATACAAAAAAGCCAACAGGACAACAGATATTGTATTAGCTAAAATGTTTGTATGTGTGAAATTTAAAGAGTGTTGAATGCTTATTTCGCTTTATTTCATCGTTTTGTTTTTCAAAATCCTGAACCATATGGGCAGGTAGCAAAAGAAATAGTCCGATCTCTATTATCTTTATAACAGATCTTGTATTGATGGAAATATTGAGATTTACCTAGTCTTAAATGGAATCGGATGTACATTTCGCTTTTTATGGGGGAGGTATCAGAAGGAGTGGACCGATATATCCCATCTTCACAACAGATCTTTTGTTAGTGGAAATGATGGGATATGTGAAATATAAAGAGAATCTGATGCTTATTTGGGATTTTATAAACGTTTTGGTTATTCAAAATATTGACCCTTTGTGGGGAAGGTACCAGAAGAAATGTTCGATCTCTACCGTTTTTATAGAAATATTCAGGTATGCCAAGTCTAAATGGAATCAGATGTTAATTTCGCGTTTTATTAGCTCAATGGATATTCAAAATTTCGACCTTTTGTGGGGGAGGTACCAGAAGCAGTGAACCGATACATTCCATCTTCACACCAGACCTTGGGTTAAAAAAATTATTGGGATGTTTGAAAATCGGACTCTTACATCACATTTTATAAGAGTTGTAGTTTTTCAAAATGTTGACCCTTTGTGGGGGAGATACCTGATGGAGTGGACCGATATTGTCCATTTTCGCACCTGACCTACCACTGACGCAAATATTATAATTCGCAAAGTTGGAGCAACATCGAATTATCCTTTTTCATTCTGGGCAAAAAATATTTTTTGAAAATTTCGACCTTTTGTGGGGGAGGTACCAGAAGGTGTGGAAGAAGGATTTAACACCAGACGTTGCGTTAATATAAATATTGGTTGTTTGAAATTTGAAGACAATCGGACTCTTATATCACATTTTATGAGAGTTCTAATTATTCAAAATTTTGACCCTTTGTGGAGGATGTACCTGATGGGGCGGACCGATATTGTCAATTTTCGCACCTGGCCTAGCACTGATGAAAATATTAGGATTCGCTAAGTTGGAGGAAAATCGGATTATCCTTTCTCTTTCTGTGCAAAAAATATATTTTTTGAAAATTTCGACCTTTTGTGGGGGATGTACCAAAAGGAGTAGACCGATATTGCCCATCTCCGAACTCGATCTAAGTTTGACAAATACATTGTAATGTATCCAGCTTGGACCAAATCGGATACTTTCTTCGAGAGTTATCGTGCTCACCAGCCAGCCAGATATACGGACGAACGGACATCGCTAGATCGACTCCAAATGTCCTGAAACGGATTTGGTTCAAAGAGACCTAGGGTCTAAAACCGTTATTTCGACTAGGCACATTTTGGCCGTATCAAATGATATATACCCTCTCTAGCCATATGGCTGAGAATGACTGGCTGTAAGACCTTATTCCTCCCTATAATAATTGCCAGTAGCTGATCATTAATGTATACCCCATTTTTAATATTGTTTAGGGAAACTGCAAGTGTGTTACTGATGTTTATAACAACTTCCAACAAAAATTGTTAACATGGATTAAGTTTTTTTTTTTTAATGCACTACATGATTTTAAGGATTCTTATTCTATATTACGAGAAGAGAGAAATCGATTAAATTATTCCATACTTTATTTACTTTAGAGTGAAAGCAGAAAATATACGTTTTAGTATGGCCCCTAAAAAATCAGGTATTTTGACGCTAATTTTGCAAATATATAAAGTAGGTTTCATGTATTGATACTTGAAATTTCCACAATAGCTTAGATTTAGTTGTCAAAAAAAAAAAAATAGATAAATAAATAAATAAATAAATAAATAAAAAATAAATAAAATAAATGATTTAATATATTTCATATTAAATCGCTTAGAATAAAGCTACCATTATTTTTGGGTTATAGTAGCCTAATTTAGGCTTCTCATTTGTTAGTTCTTAGCTCCATTAGTAGAGATCGTTTGTTAGGAATTAAGAGGAATAGCTTTTGCTAAGATAAATTAAATTATGGATAAATCACATATAAGAGTATGTAACATAAATTGATCTCATATATATTATGGGTTGGAGTTTAGGTCAGACGTTTGCTATTTTACTAACGAACACCAATATTTACCTAATAGAAATTTTAAAGGTGAAGGTTGAATAAATAAACTCTCGCTGTCTGTAACTGAACTCGATGAATATACAACAGTTCTAAATGAGAAATGAACAAACTAATACTGATGGTCTCAATGTTTTAACAGCTGATATGGAGTTCAATTTATTGAATACAGACTTTTTTAAATTAGGTCAAAGACCTATGCGGTTAATTTTGTAATGATTGACGTTTATTAATTGACGCCGTGTCAGCATTTAGAGTGAAGTAGTAAATTCATGGAAGAGATATTCTGTTCTTCACATTAATATTCAAATTTTTTATTTTTAAACAAGTAAAAGCTATAGTAGTGTTGGCCGACCATGTGATACCCTAAAACACTATAATATGTTAAAAGCTCCTTAGGTCCAAAACCATTTTGTCAGATTTCGTCTTGAAATAGTTCCATTCAGTCCCGCACAAATGTTATGTTTGTTTTTTGACCGCGAGAACTTTCCCCGTTCTCTGTCGTGCTGATAGGCATTCAAAACAATTTCACACGAAATGTGTGGTCCATTTAACCGTTAAATATAATCTAATAGCTATCCAAATGGCTGGACCTATGGCCTGTCCTTAACTCTCTTCTCATGCAAAATTCCGTGTCGATTGGTTTCAAATTGTGACCTATATCAATCGACTGCAAAATCAGGAAATTTTTAATTTGTTGGTCCATTTGAAGCCTTAAATGTACATCTTGAAAAACAATAGGGTATAATTCCGACCCCTACCCTATCCCGATGCAAAATTTCTTGAGAATCGGACGATTAATGCTACTTGAATATAATACTCCAAAAATATAGTGTTGTAAGGTAAAAAAATATTACCAAACGTAAAATTCGATATTGTAAGTCAAATATGAAAAATTCTCATGCCATAAAAAATATGAGAAAATTTGGAAAAAACGTAACAAAAAATATTCACTTTTTTATTGGCATATTTTCACGCGATTTTCTGAGATTTTATACTTTTCTGGCAAGATGCCATCCCGAATTTTGTGAGAATTCTAAAAATCTGTCCAACCGTTATTAAGTTATGGGCGGTCTAAATAACATCCCCTTCAATAGTAGACTCCTGACCAGCACTAAACTCTTGCCCCATGCTAATTTGCGCATCGATTATTCTAAAATTGCGACCTGTAGAGCAACTGCAAAATCAGGAAAATTTTGGTCCATTTCAACCCCTAAATATTATGTGATCATCTCCAAAAGCAATAGGGTTCTATTTTGGCCCTAGCCCCACCTCCATTCTAAATTTCGTGAGGATCGCGCCATAATGGCGACCTGTAGACAGATTACAAATTAACATGGACAGACGGACGGACTTACATACATAGGTAGATCGACTCAGCTCGGCGAGATAGAAAGATCCATATATACTTTCCTATATTGTAAACCAATATTTCGAGGTGTTACATAATTTTTGGCTCAATCAAACTTATAATATCCTTAACACATAGTGTTGTGGGGTATAAATATATTTTAACAAACACTTCCCCACTTCCAATTAACATTGTATAAGACCCTATTAAGATGGGAGAAAACTAATTTCTGGTCGAACCAAGCCTTTTTAAAAATTATGACTTCTTTGACAAAAATTATGTGTTTAGGATTATCTGATATCGAGATGGAACTCCCTCCTTGGCATTGAACATTTTGCTGGTAGAACTCATCTCATAAAATGGTGTACATACATATATGCGTAACAATTAGAGATACTTTGATCATACCTGCAATTTGAAATTTTTGGGTTTTGAAGTCAATATATGTAAGTACAGGTGACATATAACCAGGATGTATAAAAATTCCATTAAATCTTAATATTAAAAAAAATTAAATTCGTTTTAGCAATTCAACTCTATTATGATCATTCACCCCGTTTATACAGCGTGCGAAGCGAAATCAAATACAATAACAATGTTTTCTGAATCATTCAAATATTGTTGTTGTTGTGCTACTGCGGTGTGGCGTCGAACTATAGTTTGAAGTGTGTCAATAATAAATTATTCCGATTAAAAATTCATTTCTTGTTGTTTTGCTATAAATATTTGAAGACAAGTGAATTTTAAGTTTATTTTTTAATCCGGACCGAACCCGAAACGTAACACACGGGGAAGTTACTATGATAAAAGCTAGAGTTTCTTTGTTTTGTTGGGGTATTTTAATTTTAATAATTGGTCAAATTTATGGAGCTCCTCTTGCCAGTGAAAATGACGTCAATGAAGATTATTTACTGGAAGACATGGTCTTTGAAGTTCTTAGAAATGGTGTCGTAGCTCCGGCCAGGAGATGGCCCAATGGAATAGTCTATTATCGGATATCTGATGAATTTGGTAAGCAAAGGATTCTGTTTTGCGGCAAGGAAAAAATTATTAATTCCCTCTCCTTTTGCGGTTTGAAGAACAATTCCATAAGGATGCCATTCTAACGGCCATGAAATGCCTTGAAGATGTGTCCTGTGTCCGTTTCTATGAGGCCAAGAGAAATGTCAAAAATTATGTCAACATCATACCCTCAGAGATCGGAACTTGCTCTGCCATGTTGGGTTACCGTGGAGGTGAACAACGGCTTCAATTGGCCAAGGAAAGACCAAAATGTTTTAATCCCATAATTGTGGCCCATGAACTGTTGCACACCCTGGGATTTTTCCATGAACACATGGCCTCTGATCGCGACGACTTCATAACGATCAATTGGGAAAATATCAGACCGGGACGGGAAATATTTTACATGAAATTGGATAATAAAACTGCCACCGACTTTGGCTATGGCTACGATTACGAGAGCATTCTACATTATGGGCCGATGAGTTTCTCAGATAATGGCCTGCCAACAATAACAGCATTGGATAGCAATGCCAATATTGGTCAGCGGGATCATTTGAGTCCCAAAGATATTGGAAAACTGAATGCTATGTACAATTGTCCCCTGAAAGTGGAGGAGAATGAAAATCAGGAATCTGGGCAAACCGAAGATGGTGGTGGACCAGCTGAGGAAAGTGAAGAGGGCGAAGATGAAAGTCAAGAAACAGAAACAGACGAAGGGGAAGATGAAGACGAAAGTGAAAACAAAACTGATGGTGACGATGTTGTAGAAAGCGAAGAAAGTATAAATGAGACTGATGGAGTTGTGAAAGTAGAACTAGCCAAAAAGAAATACATTCCAAGTGAAATAAATGAGATCTGAACAAAACAGAAACAGAAGCAACGTTAAAATAAAATATTAAAAAATTATTTTTTTATATCAAACTAAAAATTTGAATTTTTAAATTTGGATGTATTGGGCTCTGAGGTAAATTTATAAACCAATTGACTGCCGTAAATGTTAATGGCGATTAATGGGAATTTTATTCGTTTAAAATTAAGAATGAATGGGATTAATGACCTTGCAAATAAACCAATTTAGAATTTTGGAACGTTTTTAATACTTTTTAATTAAACTTGGATTTTGTCTTCTAATTTTGAGAGCCAACGGAACGGAATCATAATGAACGACGATCAGTCTCTCCCCTTTAAATAATATGTTTATATACCCAGACTGATGGCTACAGAGAATGTATATCACCTAGTGCGTCCAAAATGAGTCTCATCGTTAGAATGGTTCTATACTTAATTTATCCTTGGTCACCATACTTTTCAGGACATTTCTAGTCAATCTAGTTACCGCCGTCCGTATGTACGACTGGACTGGTCTAGACTTGATCGAGATGGTCAATACTGGTCTACAAATCTGAATATATGGACTGGGTGAGATGAAAAACTGCAACCAATTTCAGACTGCTGTCAATTCTAAGCCATTCATCCGACAACTGTTAAAATTATTCCAGTGACAGCTCATTATATTGTTTACAAGCGCACAAAAACATTTTGGTAAGAATTTTCCAGAAAAAAATTAATTCGTGATGGAATTCAAGCGTGATAGTGTGATTTCTTTGGCTGGAAACCCACAAGTGGCTATCTAAATCTTTTGTATCCCTGGATACTGACAGCGTAGCCCGAGGTCAATGAAGTGCATGGAAGAAAACAGCAACATCAGCAGAAATGGTTCGAAAAGTAAAGATGCGACTTGATTGAAACCCGCGTCGAAGTGGCCGAAAAATGGCTCGTGAGCTAAACATATCGCAATATTCCATTCGGCAAATATTGAAAAATGAGCTCGGGGTAAAGCCATTGAAATTCCAAAAAGTGCAAGAACTTACACCGCAACAGAAAGAAAATAGACTAAAAAGAGCTAAAGAGTTGCTTCGCTTGGCCGAAAGTGGTGAAATGCCGAATTTGGTTTTCTCCGATGAGAAAACATTCGTTGTCCATTCGCTGTTTGTTAAAAAACAAAAGATCTTTTCTACTTGCCAAAGAGGTTAGCTGAAAATGTGCACCTTTAATTGGCCACCAACCAAGCGCCGGCTATGGTGATTTTGATGATGCCGCCATAACAGCCGATGGTCGCTCTCCGCTCGTATTACTCCACCATGGCATCAGAATAAATGCGGAATATTATCGTGAAAATATTCTGGAGGGTGTATTAAAGCCTTGGGCACGCAAACATTTTGGCCACAGACCTTGGACATACCAACAGGACTCAACACCATCGCACTCAGCAAGCGCCTCCCAAGAATGGTTACAAAATGCTGTTGCTCGCTTCATTTCCAGCGCACAATGACCAAAATCTCCGGATACCAATCCGTCGGACTATTGTGTCTGGAGTATTTTGGAGAGCAAGGTTGGCACTAAAAAATACCAAAGTGTCGATCACCTCAAACCAGCGCTTCGCCGGGAATGGGACAAAATACCGCAGAGCAACATTCGTGTGACGTGTGTGTGGAGGTTTCATTGGCCGTTTAAAGGCCATAATTCGTGCCAAAGGTGAGCAATTCGAACAAATCTAAACTTATTCTAAAATTTGATGCTATTCCGACATTTTTTGCTTTCATTCAATAAAATTTTTTGGAATAAAATGCAAAAATTATGGCATTTGACTTGTTTGGCTTGCTTTAGAGTATCATTGGCCTTTCTTTACTGGGTGATATATGAGATTGTATATATTTTGCTATACATGTGATATCTTGTTACGATCAGATGTGACCTTTTCGTGTAGTTGCGATTTCGCCGGGATTAAAAACATTCGCGTATTAATAGAACATTTTGTATTTTTTACATAACAGTTATGGATTATTTCACCCGCTAAGTATTATGCTATGACCATCCAAATTGGGAGGCTTCTGCCCATCCCAAAACTCTAGCCACATGTTAAATTTCTCGTCGATTGGTCTATAATTGTGACCTGTATAACAACGGCAAAATTAGGAAATGTTTCTTGGGGTATTTTTCTATGCGACATATACTTTCCGATCGTCTCTCCCAACAATATGCTTCTATTCTGACCATAACCTACACCCATTCAAAATTTCGTGAGGATCGGACCATAATTGCGAGTTGTGGAGTGATTATATTTTAACGTGGACAGACGGACGGACGGACATGTATATGCATGATATAGATCGACTCAGCTCTGGAAGATAGAAATATCCATATACATAAGTTCCTATGTGCCAGACCAATATTTCGAGGTGTTACATAATTTTTGGCCCTATCAAACTTAAAATACACGCAATACATTGTGTTGTGGGGTATATTTACGAATTTTATATAGACAGTAGTAGTATTTAGATTAGATTAAGGTTAGTTTCGAAAATATTTTTTTGTGACTTTTTTCTGAGCCTTCCGGCACCAAGAATGTCGAAAAAGCCAGTATGTTTCCCAAGAAAGAATTCGAATATCCAATATAGTCCAAACTTCGTGGTAATATATATAAAAGATTTAGGTTAGGTGCGTATATGAAAAATATTGGCCCACTGTTTTCCATAGATTTTATCCAAATGTTAAACTTTTTAAATAGCTAACTTTGCCCGATTTTCTTTGATTTCCGCATCTCAAAATTATACAACATTAGATCTAGTGTAAAGATGTGATAATACTTATGATGCGTCCCTCACAAAAACTATACAAATATACTATTAATCCTCAATTGATGAGGGTAAATTTCTGTCGAAAGACCTTCCAAAACTTTCCAAGTTATTACTTCCGCTTTAGCACATTTCTGTTAGTTCTTTACCGAATATTTATATTTGCCTAATTAATAAATTGGGCTAGTTCTTGGAAAACTTGTAATTTTATGGCTCAATGACCACTAACAACGTTCTTATATAGGAAAAAAAAAACTAAATCAACACAGTTGGTGTTCTGTAAGTATGTTTTCGACAGTGTTTTTTTTTTTTTTGACAACAACTGTCAATCACAAAAACCACTTATCCTTCTGTGATATTTTCTGCTAAAATTCGTCTTAATTACCATAAGAAGTTCTGTTCTGTTCCCAACAAAGTATATTGTAGTACAACAGCCGAACGTAATAAATTTAATGTTGGTAGTGGTAGCGAAGGTGATTATGCTGTAATCCCATTGAGCATTTCAAATATTTACCTTGGGTATACAAACGGTGGAAAGAAATAAATTAGAATTCACATTATATCTCCTCCACCACTTTCTCGTTATTGGATTTCATGATAAATTATTCATAAATGGGTTTTGTAAACAAAACAAAAGGGACTCACAAACAATTTAAGGATAATCATGAAAGAAGCTTGGCTAAAATAAATAAAACAAAAGGTATTCCAACGAATAACCGTTTACATTCCGAAAATTCCAAATGGGTTGGAGACTAATCCTTCAAAAAAAAAAAAAAAAAAAAAAAAAAAAAAAACCTCGAGCATTTCTTATTATTTTCCCAAGCTAATTAATAAGAAACGATTTGCCCAGTCGCAGGGAAAGGAGAATATTTCACAACATGAGATCAGCATCTCTCTTTTGCTTGATAACAACTTTAAGAACGTTTAACAAAGTATGGCTGGCAGGTATAGACCCAACCCCATGCCAAACCATATCCTGTGAGGAACAATTTATCAAATACTCCCACATTGCTGTTGGTGTCAGAGTTAAATAAAACAAATTCTGTATCACAAACACGCTTATATACTTTAACTTTGTCAGTGTGTGCATTTGTCTTGCTTTAGCCCCAAAGTATGGAGCTGCTCTCTGGCCAAGATATGTACAACATGGTCGTTAAAATACACACAGCTGTCAACAACTGTGCCCTGACGATGTGGGGCAAGTGGCAATGGTGTCATAAAAAAATCTTTAACAAAAAATCAGGCGTAAAATTGTTTTTTTCGTTCCGTCGTTCCGTTAAGTGGTAGCTTGTAAATTATATTTGCCAATAAAAGTCGGTGTAAATTAAAGTTGCTGTCGTTAAACGGAAATTCCTTATGTGGTGGTATTTACGGCAAAAGTATATATTAAGTTCGTTAGTTTAATCAAAGGAGATTTATTTATTATTATCCTTTCCGATTTCACAATGTTGTACAGTGGTGTTGTACGTGTAATGCGAACTAAGTTGTCGCAGGATTTGCTTTATATAATGTCAAAATACTTACATGATGAAGAAATTGGGGGCTCTAGCCAAAAATGAAGGCAAAATATTCCCTCATAGTTTTTTTATAATCTCTACCAAACATAGTATGTAGGGTATATTAAGTTCGTCATCGAAATAATAATTTTAGATCCTACAAAGTATATATTTTCTTGATCAACGTAAAATTCTGAGACGATTTAGCCCTGTCCGACGGTCCGTCTATTGTAATCACGCTAGAGACAAAACGAATTGATGCAAGAAGCTAAAATTTTGCACATGTCAGTCATTTGTCTGCAGGCAGGTCGAGTTCGAAGATGAGCTCTATCGGTTTACGATATCATATAGCTCCCATATAACGGTACCCCCGATATTCGGTATTTTGATGATTGTAGCCAAAATTCACACATGGAGTTCCTTCTAAGTACGTTTATCCCCTGGAAGAGTATTTTCTATATAGGTCCACGATATGGTATAGGCCCCATATAACGATATCTCCCTATATACCGTATTTTGATGATTTAAGCGACATTTTTCACCGAAATGTGTACAACAGCCTGTGACAGAAAATTGTCTATGTAGGTTTAGGTCTTCGAATATCCACCTTATATCGGTATCTCCCCATATTCGGTATTTTGATGATTTTAGCTACATAATTCACCGGATTTTTCAAATTTCGTTTTTGAATATTATAATGACCCATGACAAAAGTTGCCTATACTGTT